ACAGACCTCTCCAATTCAACTTAAATTTGTGGAGTTTTACCACTGAGCACAGTAAAACCAAGATTCTCCCTGTGCCCCATGCCTTCAGGTTCCAGGAGAGCCTGTGAGGGACAGTTCTGTGCAAAGGGGAAGCTCCCTTGGTGCTCACCTTGGCCCAGTTCCAATGTAGACCAGCACCACATGCGCGGGCGGGGGGGACACATTCATAACCTGTCCTTGCTGCCCACACCGCGTGGGTGCCGGGGACAGGAGCAGGGCTCTCCATGCAGCACCTCACCCACCCGCCAGCCGGCCCCAGCGTGACCGACCACCGACCAGGCAGAGTGCAGAGGACAAACTGCTTCCTGGGGTGTCAAACGCGGCAAGCTTAAGACCCATCGTCACCATCCTGCTGCCTCTTCTCTCCCAAGGCTGTGTGGCCTACCTATTATCTCCCAAATATGCCGCTGCTTTGTATAGATTTCCTTTAAATTTAATTAACATATCAGGTGAGCTGTAGGCAAACTTACTTCTGGACCATGCTTCAACTGGACGTTACAATGCTAAAAAGAAAATTATCAGTCAGCAACAATGACGTAGAAGTGATTTTCAACTTTTCTGGATGTAAAGTTTGTAGGCACCAGAATGCCAAGCAGCCAAGGCCGTCAAACTAAATATGTATGAATGAGACAGGAGGAAGAACACACAGTCTAGATTATGTCAAAATCTTGCACTGCAGTCCAAAAATCTACATGCAGTACATGGCTGGGTGACTAATCATGTTTTATTTAATATCAAAGAACAGATACCATTTTACAGTGAGTATAAAATAATGGCAGTTCCTTGCATTTTCTGCAAATTATAGAAAAAAAAATCTCTTTTAGTCAAATGTTTTGGGTTGTTGTCTTACCACAATACTCAGCTAAAGGCCTACACTTCCTTTCATATAAAGAATTATTGGTAAACAGAAACATGACTCTAGTGTTAGAGATCCTACAATATGAGAATTACAATATGTTACATATAGGTAAAACAAAAATTACAAGCTGTAACATTATAAACTCAGTCATTAGAGTAGTGATGTGTATGATGATGCTCCAAGTAGGGAGCAAACTAACATGCAAAATACTGCAATTCTTTAATTCAACATTTGCTTAAAGATGGTTTTTCAAAGCCATTTTTGAAATGATTACCTTCTGTGGGTTTGAGCAAGACCTTTAAATGCTATTTGAACATAGATTTATGGGTGATTCATCTAGCAGAAATTAAGTGTGTAAATTCTTCTCATTTGCAGATCATCAACATGGGGTCTGTTGAATAAATGCGACTTACAGGACTCAAAAGCTGCGCACAAAATGCTTTCACTCCTATTTGAAATATTTCTTAAAAAGGTGACTTTGAACACTGAAATTACATTAGCACCACCTAGAGGCATACACTAAAATCATGCTTACATTTTATTGAGAAAAATTTAACATGAAAATGTCTGTATGTCTAATCTTTTTAGTCCAAGGAGCTAGGAGCTTCCCCTTAGTCTGTGGTTTGGAGGAGATATTTCTGACATAAGGTTACACTCCAATGTCTTCATCCAACACAAGATCTTTAATTTCCAAAGGCCTGCAGAGAAAGAAATGGGGAAAAAAAAAAAAAAAAAAAGGTTTTATTTCTCACATTACTGAAAGGACAAAATCTCCTTAGCAATGAAAAAATGAAAGAGCAGAATGGAAAATAATAATAAAGCACATATTGTAAGTTTTAAGCGAACTAGTTTTAAGTAAATTAATATTTTGAAGGCAGCTCATCAGATCTGGCTACAAAATGAGCTTATCCCCTTAAGAATATGCCCTCTATGATCAGCATCAAGATCTCTTGATGCCTCAGAAATACCTTGTCTGATTGCACCTGACTTCTTCTTGGTTCATATCATTCAGTGACTCACAGTCACACTGTGTTTGTTTAGGATATCTATCTACTTCACTTCTTACAGATGGTCTCAGATGTTACAGAAGGGTTTTGTAGCTGATCCCTCAACACATGACCTTGCATTTTGTGTTATTACCTTTTCCTCATTTTTATATTCTCATTTTTAAGGCTAATTTTCCTTGTGCACAATTTCGATTCTACATTATCTTGAAAAAAGACTTCCAAACTTATATCATGGGAACGTCATTAGCAGATGATTAACATGTTGACATCTGGAGTTTTCTACATTTCTCAAAATCTACCCTTTTCAAGAGAAAACCCTAAATACTTGTCTATTTCCTTTTTATATTTTATTTAAACTGAATAAATTCACAGTGACTGTATTCAGCTCTACTATAGTGTCCTAACTGCTTATCAAAATCTAGTTTAATAAAATATACTATCTTTGTTGGATTAGAAACTCTTCAGTGAAAAACTCTCTTAACTTTCACATCTAAGAGTAATTGTGTCCCACTGTTTTTAATAAATAATTTGCTCTTCAACCTGTGCCTGGAAAATGAAATTCATACATTGTGAGGCAGGTCCTGAATTAATCTCTCTAATAATAATAATAGCTACTCAAGACACCCCCAATAAAATTAGAGTCAAGTTAGACTGATTGTTCTGTGAGCAATATTCCCTTTTATTTTTTTCTACAAAATGAATTTGAGCCAAATCTATTGTTTTGCCTCTTCAAGTCCCTCATCTACTCAGTATTCAGTAGTATCTCAGCATCATGCAGAATCTTGTTTTTCCTGACGTCCTTGAACAGCAAATTATTTTCTGTCAGGGTTTTGTGATCCAATATTTTATTATCGATATTCCACCATTTTATTTTCAGAAGATCCAGTTTCCCAACCTACAACAATTATTCCTAGTCCTTTGCTTAGTATGAACATATGTCTTTTTTTTTCTCTCATGCAATATTCCAACATTAATTAGTTACAAACTCTGTCATTAAATGTATCATCTGGCTGCTACCAGTGTCATTTTCTTTTTCCTTGCTATCTTATTCTTTCTAGTAAGTATTTATACATGGCTTGAGTCTACTGTGTATTCTTTCTGACACACAAATGCTTCCTTGCACAGCCACATGAGATGATGGGTATTGCTCATCCTGAGCCTGTCTCTGCCATCTTGTGCTGGTGTCTATCTGAACTGACTGAAGCGAGAAACTATACATTACGTAGTTAAGCATTTCCTCTGGGTTTCAAGTTGGATTGTTACTCCTAATTGAAGAATTTGCTTTAGAAGTTGTCCCTTTGTGCAAAAATATATGGTTTGGAGGTGGAGGAAGAAGAGGCATGATTCTGTATATGAAAATTAAGCCATAAAGTCTAGCTATATGGAGAACATAAATTATTTCACCAAAGGTGGGAATATGAAAAAAAGATTCCTGATTCTGAAAAAAATAATTAATAGGATGATGGAGGTCATCCAGTCCAACCTGTTGCTCAAGGTAGGGCCAGCTTCAAAGTCGGAGCAGATTACTCGGGGTTGTGTCCAGCTCTGAACATTTCACAGTGCTTCCTGGCAACCTGTCCCAATGTTTCACCACATTCAGTGTGATTTTTTTTTCCATATGTACAATTAAAATTCTTAATATATATACATTGTTCATAAGACTAAGACTGCAACCCAAGTCTCCCTGCCTCCCTCCATTAGAGTCATCCTCTGGTTTTCTCAATATTTACTAGTATTGAGCTAGTCCATGCAAAGTGAAGAATTTTTGCAGAAGGGGAATTTCCCTCCCCACAGTCCTACAGTGTGGTAGTCTCTTCCTTTGTGAAATGGAATTTTACAAGGTGATATTTTAGGTAAAAGAGGCCACTCTGTATGTGATGGACGCATGTGATGATGCTGGGAGAAGACAAAGACAGAAAAGACCCTTCTCCTTCTCCTTCTCCTTCACCATCTCCCCCACCAACTCTACCAGGATCTGGGAAGACAGAACAGTGTTCCACAGCTATTTCCAAAAACAAAACAAAAAACTTAAGGACTGCAAGTCCTGCACCTCACTATACTGAAGTGGCTTGATCTGCCATGCAAGTGTCTCAAATCATGAAAACATTGGCATTTAACATACTACAGACCTCCTACTAATCCTGCCAGTTCCTACTAATACCCAACTGGCTAGACCATGCAGCTCTTTACTTAGCACGGTGGCCTTTATAGCATCATTCACAAGTGTAACTCTTGTAATTCTGAATACAAGCTTGACAAATAATTTTAACTCTTCGTATTTCCCCTTTGCAGCATGCTGGAAGGTGACATGACCAACCCTTGGTTAAAGAGCCCAAGTAATGGACACAATCCATTATCTGGGGCAACAGAGGGTGAGAAATGACTTTTTTTTTTTTTTCCCCCTCCTTTTACTGTTTTACAGCAATCTGGGACATCCTAACAACTTTAGAGCAGCAAAAACAGCACTGCAACAACAGAACAACAGCAACAAGAAAAAAAAAAGAGTGATGTTATCGAAGACTCTCTGTGGGATTTTCCTTTTACTCTGTTTTATCATGAAGCGATGACACGCATCCTTATGGCCACTCACACACTGAGGATGCAGGAGCCACACAAGACCTATGTGTGGGTAGACTGAAGAGGGCAGTAAGAGATAAACAGAGAACAATACTCTAAGCAATCAGAGGTTATTAGTTATTACTTCATATTTTAATAATAGCAGTATTTAATTATTAAAGCAGAGAGCACACAGGAATAAAGAGAGATGAAAATACCGGTTAAAATAAATGCCTGGGGAGGGGGATAACACTAAAGACTTCTTTAAAGAAGGCAATAGGCAACCAAGGAAACCGCAGCAGTTGCCCGCACCTGGGAGCACGCAGGGACTGCAGGGTTC